TACACCTTCACAAAATGGTGTAGCTAAAAAGAAACATAGGCATTTCATTGAAACTACTATTACTCTCATGCATCATTCTTCTTTTCCTTTGATTTATTGGTTTGATGCTCTTGCCACTACTGTCTATTTGATCAATAGACATCCTACTCTTAAGCTTAATAATCTTACTCCCTATGAAGTATTGTTCAAACACAAACCTCATTATATGCTCTTGAGATCCTTTGGGTGTAGGTGCTATCCTTGGCTCAAACCATACACTACTAATAAGCTCCAACCTAGATCTATTGCATGTGTTTTTCTTGGTTATCAACCTTCAATCAAAGTCTATAGGTGTCTTAATCCCAGCACAGGAAAAATCTACATTTCCAGACATGTGGTGTTCGATGAGTCTTCTTTTCCTTTTTAGTCTTCTTCTCAGTTGTCTTCTTCTGAAACATCTACTTCCATATAGTTGTTTTTCTGGTCTCCTCCTTTCTCCTCATCTCATGCTGCTGCTAACTTAGCAACCCAGCCAGCTTCATCTCCTACTGTTGTTACTCACTCAATAGCCCAGCCAACTTCTTCTCCTGCTCTTGTCACTCACTCAGCAGCTCAGCCAGCCCCTTCTTCACCTGTTCCTCTACTGTTCACAACTCATTCTGATCAGATTCCTATTTCTAATATTTCTATTAATCTTCCTTGTATTCCTTCCAATGCTCATCCCATGATTACCAGATCAAAATCTCATTTTCCTCATTCTTTTCTCACTGTTTGTCTTCTTTCTTCTACTGATCATTCTAAGCCACAAAATTACCAGCAAGCAGCTTCTTTCTCTATTTGGAAATCTGTTATGCTTGAAGAATTTCAAGCCTTACAGAAACAAAGGACTTGGTCTTTGGTTGCTTCCTACCTGGCAAGCAAGCCATAGGCTGCAAATGGGTTTATAGAATCAAGAAGAATTCAGATGGTACTATAGCTAGGTATAAGGCTCAGCTAGTTGCCAAAGGCTTTCTTCAAACTGAAGGGGTGGACTATCATGAGACCTTTAGTCCTGTGGGTAAGCAACCAACTATTAGAATTCTTTTATGTCTTGCTCTTGACATATCTAATGCCTTTTTCCATGGTGTTCTTGAAGAATAAGTATACATGGTTCAACCTCAAGGTAGGGGTGGGCGCGGGTCGGTTGCGGCCACGAAACCTTCAATCCGCCATCCGTCCGCCAGATTGGCGGATTAGAGAAAATCAATTTGTATCCGTCCGCCAATCTGGCGGATGTGGATTGAGCGGATTGGCGGATGGATGCGAATTGGTTTGGCGGGTTGAAATTTTATAAATTTTCAACATAGTTCAACTTGTGCACTTCCTCAAAAAAAAAAAAAAAAGTATTACAATCAATGACTTAAAAAAGTATTACAATTACTGCATGCCTCATCCAAAGAAAGAAAGTTTGAAACTTTAGAATATCACAATCATTGCTTGCCTCATCCACATATTACAATCACAGCATGCCTCATCCACATAAAATATTACAATCTGTAGTTCTTAAAATATAAAAACAATTCAAATCACCAAAACCATAATAGTAGAGATTGTATGTCTCTGTATTGTTACATTTATATATGTTTTTGAAAATAAAAACCAACCAGCATATATCATATTTTCTATTTATTACTTTTAGAGTTAGATTTAAAAACCAAAAAATATAGATAAATAATACGTTTATTTTTTTCAATTCAAAAAATATATTCAAGTTGAAAACTTTTTTTCAACAGAATATTTGAACTCTTTTTCAATTGAAAACACAAACAAAATATTTAAACAAATTGAAAACACAAAGTCTTATAAATTACTAAAGGTGCTCGCAGTTTGGCAGTTCGGTTGCGGCCAAAGGAACCTCAAATCCGCCATTCGTCCGCCAAATTGGCGGATAACCGTCCGCTCGTCATCACGCATCCGTCCAAAATGTGGCGAATCGGTTCGGTTCGGTCGGTTTTGGCCAATCAATATATCCGCTGCTCACCCCTATCTCAAGGTTTTGTTCACCCTAATCAGCCTCAACTTGTCTGCAAGTTACACAAAGCACTCTATGGCTTAAAGCAAGCCCCTAGAGCTTGGTTATTTACTTTCTCCAATTTTCTTCTCACTCATCATTTTGTTCAAAATCATTGGGACTCCTCTCTCTTTATCAAGAAAACTTCTATTGCTGTCACTATTCTTCTCATATATGTAGATGATATTCTTCTTACAGGAAGTGATCATCTTTATATTAACTCTCTCATTAACCACATGCATACTACTTTTTCCATGAAAGAACTTGGCTTTGTCAATTATTTCTTGGGTATCTCTGTCACCAAAATTGCTTATGGTTATGTCCTTTCTCAGCAAAAGTATGCCTCAGAGTTATTGCCCAAAGCTGGCATGAGTGACTGCAAATCTTATTCTTCTCCCATGGCTACTAATTCCACTTCTACTTCTCTTGCTATAGCAGATGACTGTCTCTTTTCTCAGCCAACTTTGTATAGAAGTTTCGTAGGAGCACTTCAGTATCTTACTCTCACCAGACCAGATTTAGCCTTTGTAGCTAATCATCTATGTCAGTTCATGCACACACCCTTGACTAGTCATTTTACCTCTGTTAAAAGGTTACTGAGGTATCTTAAAGACACCTTATCTCATGGCCTTCATTCCTCTCTTGGACCTCTTATTCTCAATGCATACTCAGACTCAAATTGGGCAGGTAATGTGCTTGATAGAAGGTCCACCACTGGTTACTGTGTATATCTTGGTCCTAACCTCATTCCTTGGTCTGCCAAGAAATAACCCACTGTGGCTCGATCATCTTCAGAGGTAGAATATCGGGCTTTGGCTCAAACTTTAGCTGAACTCAGTTGGCTTGGCATGTTACTTGCTGAGCTTCATATCTCTGTTCCTATGCTTACTTTATGGTGTGGCAACTTATCTACAATTGCTATGAGTAACAATCCTGTTTTTCATGCCTGTACTAAGCACATTGATGTCGATTATCACTTTGTTCGCGAAAGGGTTGCCTCCAAGTAGCTTCATATTTGTCATATTCCCATTTCTGATCAGATTGCTAATGTGTTTACTAAACCCTTATCTGTGGCTAGATTTCAATATCTTCAACACCAACTCAATGTCCTTTCTAGTCCACTGAGCTTGAGAGGGCATGACAAGTCCCAGCCACAGTAGCAGCCCATAGAGCTATCACAGCCATAGCAGCTATCACAGTCTTCAGCTAAAGCTCAAGCTCCAGCAGTTGCAATTGCAGCCAATGTCACACTTGTGTAATCTACAACTGTAAATGAGTTGTTAGTTTGCCTCCGTTTGGGAAGTGGGTTGGCTTTTTGGCTTTTTTGGCTATTTTAGCGTGGGCTAAAAAGCTTGGTTTAGGAAGGGCTTTTTGGCTTTTTGACTTTTTTGAGTTTTTTTGTGAGAGAATAGTGTAATGATTATGGATTGGATGTGATGTTTTGTTTGTTGTGGCTAAAATAGCCTATTTTGTCTTTTGTGGCTATTTTAGCCCCAACCCAACTTGCCAAACACCACCTTTGTTAGACGTTAACCGTTAAAGGTTAACTATAGTTTGGTTAAGTAGTTAGATTCAATGTTAGGTAGTTATGGTTATGTTCCATTGTTTGTATAAATAGATCTTCTCTCTGTAACATATCATTCATTGAATACAAAAGATATTCACATTAATTCTCTTTACATTTATTTTGAGTGTGCGCAATATTTCATCACTTACACAATAAAATGGTTGATATTTAGTATAATTTATTTGAGTTGTTTATAATTATTTTATGTTGGGCGTATGTGCCAAATTGTACTTATTTGGTACAATTTATTGTAAGTTAAAAATTGATAAGTCAAGAGTGGAGGATGGAGGATGGAGGATGGAATCCGGTGATAAGAAGAAGACGAGTTGCAAACCAATACAGTAGATCGGTGGAGTATGGAGTGTATACTCTCTTTGTGGATGACATCCCAAACTCGATGACTCCAGAGGGTTTGTACATGTTGTTTAAAAACTTTGGTGTTGTAAAGGACGTTTTTATCCCATCCAAAAGACGGAAATCGACAGGGTCGAGGTTTGGTTTTGTGAGGTATGACTGCAAGGTAGCTGCCGAAATGGCGGTGATGAAGGGTGATGGTCTATGGTGCGACAACAAGGCCCTGAAAGTAAAGAAAGCAGAATTTCAAAAAGGGGAGTTCAAGCAGCATACAATGACAAACAGAGGAGATGGTCCGATGACGCAGCGTCCACAGAGGAGTTTTGGGCATAGAAGGATGGATGTTTCAGGTCGAAGATCATTTGCAGAAGTCGTCCAGAGTGGTGGCAGAAATGAGAAGATGAAGATGGTAGTACAGGCATTCGAAGTCGGAAATGGATGGCTTTATGACAGTGTAATTGTAAGGTTGAAATCATTTTTTTCCTTCGATGAATTTAAAAAGGAGGTGGAAAAAAGAGGTATGGAGGAAGTAAGAGTCAGAGAAGGAGGAGGAAGGCTAGCAATGCTAACTTTTAAATCCCAGCAACATAAAAAGGAGGCTACAACCAAGCTACAAGACACTCTTTCTTCAGTTTTTAAATATTCAATTTTTTCAGTTTAAATAACTATTTTTGCCTAATAAATTCTAAGTAAAATTCCACCAAATAGTATGATTATTTAGTGTGGCTTATATGAACTCTTTGGTGTAACCTATTTGAGTTGCTTATATATTTTATGTTATTCTGAAAATTCTGATCAGACTATTTTACTTCTGACTTACTAAACCAAAAAAACTCAAATAAATTAATTATTTGAAAACTAAAAAAATACTCTTAACTTTTACTTTCTTGGAATAAACTCCAACAGATAGACTCTCAATCAAGTGCAAGTTGTTGTCAAAAAAAAAATATCAAGTGTAAGTTGGTGTGGAAATATTTGATATATTTGATTGGTGCATGGCCTTTAAGTACATTTTTGCTCCTTTAAAAGGGGACGGAAAGAGACCCTTCTTACTCTTTCCTGTTATATATGTCTCTCCAGCTGCCTAGAGAGAGAGAGAGAGAATGGCGTTAGAAACTGTGGTATTCCAACAAGACCCGTCCAGTTATAATAGCTGCAAAGATTTCACCATGATTGGTATTGAAGAAGAAGAAGAAGAAGAGAAGTTTAACGATATTATTAAGTCTTGTGAAACTATTCCTGTTGACAAAAACAACAGAATAGAGTCTCATCCTCGTCCTTGTTCCTCCATGGCACAAAGCGTGAAGGAGTACTGTGAGAGGGAGACCAAGTCTTCTTCCCCTGAGGTCTGCACCACAGCAACAGCAGCACCAGGGAGAAGAAAGAGGGGACGAGGAGGGAGCAATAAAAGCATGAAGAAGAAAGACAAGGAAGAAATGGAGAAGCAGAGGATGGCACACATTACAGTTGAAAGAAATCGCCGCAAGCAGATCAACAACTACCTCTCCCTCCTCCGTTCATTCATGCCCCCTTCTTACTCTCTCAGGGTTCTCTCTCTCTCTCTCTCCCCATATATGTGTGCTGATATGCTTAGACATACATAGTTAACATAAATAAATAAAATAGAATGATTAATTACATTCAACATCTATTCGCTTTGATCAAAATTTATTTTTACTCTTCTTGTATTTTAAGTCCAATGTCACATTTCTGTCAATATGGTGTTAATGAAATTGATAGAAATTAGCATGGGATGATATATATTTTTTTAAATGAAATTAAAAATAAAGGGACTAAAATAGGATTTTAATGAAAGTTTAAAAGTCAAAATAAAATTATGATCTCAAATTGTTGTGATGCATAGTTAAGCTAGAGAAATATCATGTGTGACTTACATGCTAATTACATTAATATTATTAATGTCAAGTGAACGGGATGATAGATATTACAACTAACTTAAGAAATGAGTTTCTCTTTAATTAATTTAACTGTTCAATTTTAAAAATTAAGCCGGATTCATAATTAAAACTGAGTGAACCAAATAACTTTTTATTAAAAGTGTAGAGGCATTAAGAGTTTGTTTGGCATCTTCTAAGTTTATTTATTTTTTACACATTTTTTCGTAAAAAATTAAAAAGTACATTTATTTAGATTATTTCAAACAACTTAGACCAAAAATAATATATACACTAATTATATAGTACATGGAGGATTTTTATAATTGATGGGCATGAATTTATAAATGTAATAGCGGGTAGTGTTGGGGTATTGTCTTCACACAAGTATGCCTAAATATTCAATGTAAAAAATCATAAAAAACAACTTTGTGGCTTTGCTTTTTTTCTTTTTTCTTTTTCTTTTTTTTTTTTGTCTTTTTTTTTTCAAAACTGACCAATATTCAGTAGAATTATTTTCTCTATAATTAACATGTTTCTCTTAATATATATATAAGCAGGGGGACCAAGCCTCAATAGTAGGGGGTGCCATTAACTTTGTGAAGGAACTTGAACAACTCCTCCAAGTCCTTGAAGCCCAAAAACAAGTCAAGCAAAGATCCTACTACCCCGGACATTTCTCTCCCCTCTTTCCCAATTTCTTCACTTTCCCTCAATACTGGACTCATTATTCAAGCCAACACAACAATCTGGTGATCGGACATGAGTCGATGGCAGGGAAGCTATCTACCATTGCTGACATTGAAGTTTCCATAGTAGAACGTCATGCCAATATCAAAATACTATCAAGAAGACAACCAAAACAGCTCTTGAAGCTGGTGGCTGGGTTTGACTCTTTAGGCCTTGCCATCCATCATCTCAATGTCACAACAACTGTTGATCACATGGTCCTCTATTCTTTCAATGTTAAGGTTAGTCATTACACTTTGATTATCAAAAATTCTTAGGAATACAGAAATCTATCACATAATCAGACACAACTCTTTTAAATAACATGACGTAGGCTCCACTTTTTGTGAGTCTCACAACCATGTGAAAGGATTGTATCTGATTTGCAAAAAAATTGCTTGATTATTTGCTACTCCAACTTTTAAAAAGTTGGACAGTCTATTTTCAAAATAATAGTTGTTGTTCATTACTTTTTAAAAACAAATATGATGAAATCAAGTAATTATTATTTTTGAATCAATTTAATTTTTTCATTAATAATTTATGTACAAGGCTTACAAATTAAACGACTCATATTATCATAATGGAACGGTAATGAGCCCCACAAGCTAGATTGGACTGGTCGAGTCCCATAAGTGCATGAAGACAAACCATCCTCATAATTGTGATAAGCCATTGGTAATATGGGATTAATATTTTGAATTCAAACAGGTAGAAGATGATTGTCAGCTGAGTACAGTGAATGAGATAGCAACCACTGTTCATGAGATGATGGGTAAGATCCAAGAGGAAGCCATGTCTAGTTGAGAAAAACCCTAAAGTTGTATTGTAATTGGCAAATAATTTCAGACTTCATATAGATTGAATCCTGAATCCTTGGTAGAACTTTGGTTTCAAATTTTTCTATATATTTTCTTAGAATCTTCTGCACTGTGAAATGACTTAAACGAAATGTCTAAGTTTGGCCAACTTACTGGATGTGCATTTAACAATGCAAAATTGGATTTTTAAACTGTATTTAGATTATGAATATAAAATTTAAAAGGAAAAAAAAAGATGTAAAATATAGTTATATTTCATTTACATTTTACTTATATTTTCTTTTTTTAAATTTTTTTTTTCTTTAACCTAAATTCCTGTTAGAAACACAACTTATAAGTGATTAAAAAAACAAAAGTTTTTGCATTATTGGTCTATAAATAGCAAAATTTTGGCATATTATTGTGGGCCAGCCTTGCTTTGGACTTGGCCCAAAAGACAACTTATTTTATCCAACTTCGCCTTACATTGGGGGGAGAAGGTTGTATGCCACTCATAATATGCCACATCCATACACAGAAATAATTAAGAGTTATTTATATAGGGGCTCTTAAATTATTGAAAAGTATTATTTTGACTTTTCAAATTATAAAAGCATATAAATAAACTTTTTAAACTATTGAAAAATATTACTTTGATCTTCTAAACTATTGAAAAGTATCATTTTATTTCTCTTAAACTATAAAAACGTATAAATGGATTTCCTAAACTATTGACTTGTTTTACTTTATCTCCTTTCGTTAACGGTCCAATTTGTCTGTTTTTATAATTTAGGAACATTTGAACACTTTTATAGTTCAGAGAGCAAAGTAATATTTCTTAATAGTTTAAGAGATCCATTTATACACTTTTATAATTTAGAAAGTTAAAATAATACTTCTCAATAATTTAAAAGGTCTTCATGTAAATAATTCAATAACTAATTGAAACCCCTTTCTGAATTAACGTACCAAAAGCAAAGTTGCTTTTTTTGGCTTCATATTTGGTACCACATCCAACGTCGGAGGCTTGAAATAATATAATTCCAATCATATATGAAATTAGTAGGTTATAAATAAATAAGTGTGGTTATTATTGAATCTGTATAATTTGAAGTTCAAATAGATATCTGTTTAATAAATAATTAATTATGTATTTTAATATTATGAGAATCTCACGACGTTTTTAATCTCTTATGTAATTCCATCTAACTATTTAAAAGTATGCAAATAAGATTTTAAGAATAATTAGGGCTTTTTTTTTTTGTTTTGTTTTTCATTATTGATCTACTATTTTAAGTTAATCTAGTAAAAATAATAATAATAGGATATAGTTTTTGTAAATTAGAAAAATAAATTTGAATTAAAATCAAATATTTTTTCATGAATAATTTCATTCAATAAAGATTAATTTCATTAAATTTAACTTGTAAATTTTATAAAAAAAAATTCTTCATATACTTAATATTTTTATTTAATAGTAAAATGTTTTGACATGACACATTAATAAGACAAAATCGAACACAAACCAAAAATAACATGATATAACAATTCAAAATAATAAATAAATTAAATTAATTTCAAAATAATTTTAATACAAACCCAAAATAACACGTACGCACACGAAAACCCACCCCTAGTCCCCTTCAACTAATTATCAAGCCCTGTGGTCTCCACTTGTTGGTCCATTACCTTTTTCTGTTCTCAGGTTAAAAAAAAAAATTCTTCATATACTTAATATTTTTATTTAATAGTAAAATGTTTTGACATGACACATTAATAAGACAAAATCGAACACAAACCAAAAATAACATGATATAACAATTCAAAATAATAAATAAATTAAATTAATTTCAAAATAATTTTAATAAACCCAAAATAACACGTACAGACCTAACACGAAAACCCACCCCTAGTCCCCTTCAACTAATTATCAAGCCCTGTGGTCTCCACTTGTTGGTCCATTACTTTTTTCTGTTCTCAGGTCCATTCGGAAATAACTTATGTTAATAATTTTTTAATTAAAATATGAAATAAAAAAATTAATATGTTTGGAATGATTTTATAATTTTTATAAAAATGTGCAAAAAGTAGAGAGAGTAAGAAATCTTTGACTTTTTGATATAAATTATAAACTTGTTAATTTATTTGATAAACTTTTAACTTTTAAATTAAAATAGTCACATGCCAAACGATACCTCAATTGTCTAAGGAAAAAGTTAGCTGACTCTGAGATGTGGTACCAAAATAAATTTTCCAGTGAATTATGCAGATCAGAACTGCTTTTATAATTACTCTGTGCAGATAAAATAGTTTCACATTTCATTACATCTATTCAAGTAACCAACTCAAACCCAGTAAGCTAATACACACTGCAAAAAAATTAGTATTTTAACGATAAAATCTTTTTAGCACAAATTTATCTTGTCTTTAGAAATATATTTATTTGTAATACTCTTAAAAATGTCATTAAAGATTTTTAAAAAAAAATTAACTTTTTGTAACAATTCACATGACAACTGAAATTCATTTCTTAATTTTTTTTACAACAAAAATTTCACTTTTAATGACCAAAAAATTTAATCTCTAAAATTCTAATATGATTTTTTTTTTTGTGTGTGTTGTGTGAACGCTAAAATTCTAAAATGTTGTGTTGAATGTTTGACATATGAATGTTAATCAGAGTTTACGACATTTAGATATCATATCACATTTGGATACCATTTGCGGTGTTATTTTCTACGACACTAACCACATTATCGAAGTTTATGACATTAATGTAGTCTTTTCTAAATAAAAAGTAAGGTCATTTATGTTTTGTACTCTTTTATTTTTATTAAAATCTTACTTTGATGCTTCACTTTTAATTTTGACAATCAATTCTTTAAGTCAAAATTACAATGTTACTTTTCTGTACATTTGGCATTAATAAAGCTGACAAAACTTATCATGTGAATCATACGTGACATTTTTATCACCTCATTAGCATTCTTATAATTTATCAAAATTTCACTTTACTCTTTGCCATTTCAATAAAAATCTCATTTTGATTCATTCACTTTTAATTTGTGTTAGTCCCATTAACAATAGATAAACAAAAGCGTAACATTGCAACTTGACTTAAAATATTAAAGGTTAATAGTCACAATTAAAATTAAGGGTTTGACTTTTCTCATATTGATCATCTCAAGGTGAGATCAAAGTGAAATTTTTTGTAAAAGTGTTAGAGTATTAAGTTTAATTAATCGCAAAAAGCATTACGTATCTGATTTAATTTGTCACTTTTGTACACTCACATTTAGAAGGTCGGGATTGATTACTTTCCCTCTATTATGGTGATTCTTTATTGTATTGATTGTTTATTTTATGCTATGGTAACATATTGGTTTTCTAGTCATGTGTTGAATTATAATTATTTTAAGTTTTTTATATTTGTAATTAATTTTGTACTAGAATTGGAAACCTTAAAAAAAAAAAAAAGGAGTAATATTCTAATGCTTTATCTAGTAACATTTTAGCAACTTCCTTCGGCCTTGTGATTAGAATTGGATGAAGATTAAAGACGAAAAATAATTTATATTTTATTTTAGTCTCTATTATTTTTATTTAAATAATGTAGTCTCTATATTTTTAGTCTAATTTTAATTTAGTTTTTCTGTTAAAATTTCGTCAATTTTTTTTACACGTACACCTATGAAAGTAACAAGTTTGGTTATCATTTTTCAAAAACGCTTTTCAGAAAATTATACTTTCTTATTTTTCGTTTTTTTTTTGTTTTTACTAAATTTTTTTAATATTTTGAGCAATTTTTTTAATTTTTAGACATACCTCACATAAATATATCTAAAAAGTAAAAAAAATTGAAAAAAACCTTTTAAAAATTCACTAAATACCAAAAATACAAAAAAAAAATGAGAATTCAGTATATTTTTTTATATTTTTATGTATTTATTAATTTTTAAAAATATTTTTTCACAAATTTTTTACTTTTTAGATACATCTAAGTAAGGTGCATCTAAAAAAGTAAAAAAAAATATTTAAAATTTTAAAAATATTCACTAAAAACAAAAAAACAAGAAAACTAAAAAACTCAATTTTTAAAAAACTTAATTCAAAAAACTTAAACCAAACACACTGATTAATTTTAACTTTCAACCTTAAGAAATATATCAAATTGAAACTGTTTAAAATACAAGGACCAAACTATTCAATTTAAAATAATAGAGATCAAACTGAAATTTAAATTAAACTATAAGAATTAAAAGTATAATTTATCCAAAAATAAATTATGAAAATATACTAAAAAATATGAAAATTCATTAGAAAAGAATGAAAAACAATTAAAAAATGATGGAAGGACGAAACAAACGACTATAAAATTACCATTAAGAAAAAGTAAGCCTAGTAACTTGTAAGCAGCTCACCGACTAAAAATATCACCAATTAATGAGAGTTTTTTTATTGTAATCCGCTCGAGGAAATTAATCCTGTAGACCTTAAAATTAATCATCAGTCATATATCCGGTGACTTTTTAACTCTGTGTTTGTTTGAGGATTTGAAAAGAGATTTGGTAAGAGAAAGAAAAAAATGTGTAAAATTAAGTAAAATGTATGTATATTTTACTCATATTTCACATACTTTTTTCATTTCTCTTCTCAAATCTCTTCACAAATCTCTCAATCAGACACAGTATAAGTGATTCAAGCAGTATAACATATTCAAGCTTAAGATCTTAAATCTTATTCTTAATTTTTTATTATTCGACCGACCTCTCTCTTCCTTAGATATATGAAAATGATATGTTCATATATATATATATATATATACACACATATATAAACAGTGGTGGAGTTTGAAAATTAAATCAGTAGGGACAGTTATTAATTACATTTTCTTTTTTTTTTTTCTTTTTTTATAACCAACAATAGGAAGATAATGATAATTTTTGAATTAATATTAAGTACAAAAAATTAAATAAATTGTTACAAAAATATTTTACATAAAATTTAACAATTAATTTTGAGTAAAATCGAAAAGAAAGTATGGCGTGTAACTAGTGTATCATGAATAATGTAAAAAAGTCATATATTTAAGTCTTAAACTAAATTATATAGTGGTAAGAT